GAGCAGGTTGTCTGTTGAGAGTAAAACGGCCAGAGGTAGGACAGGATCTCCAGGAGAGGGGCAAGGTTTGGGAGAGACCCTGTGGGGATGAAATCTGAGGCTCCATGAGGATGAGGTAAAATTTGCTAAGCATGAAGAAGGCCTCATAAGTGAGCAGTGGCTCCATCAGCACGCCCAGGCAATTCGCTTCTGAAGCGATCAGCATCTTGGGAGCAGGAGAGATGACTACATGCAAATTGCTGGATCTAGGTATAGGGGTGGGCAGGGCAAGTGAGGTGGGAGTTAGGGAACTGAGGGTATTCATGAGAGTATCCAGTAGATTTAGAGGCCGTGCAGGCATTTATTCTATCCCCCAGATTTTTGATTTGGAGGAGCCAGTCCCCATTGCTGATCAGTGTCTTGCTCCCTGCTGAGACGTAGGCTGATGTGATGATGGTCTGTGTCTTGCACATAAAGGCCACCAGGCCCGCTGGGCTGCCGGCTCTCCTCAGGGCAGTGGCTTCTGTCTGGGATGATGGTACACCCACAGCACTGCCTGAATTTTCTGCAACAGTTTAGTGCTCTAACATCACAGATTCATTGTTGATTTTTCCCTCTCTGTACATTCAAGCCATTTGTATGTTTACATTTCTAATACATTTCACCTCTTTTTTTTTGTGATCCTCTTCTCATTTAGATTTCCTAGTCTTCCTCTTTTTAAAGTTCAATTTAGAGATTTCAATACTATTGGACCAAACTTATCAGTAGAAAGGTGAAGTGGCCGTGGCATGACTTACAGGGTCTGGCAAGGCCCCTTGTGAAGCTGAAGCAGGGCTTTATTTCTTTATTGTAAATAAAGAAGTAAAGAAAGAGTCAGGGAGTAAAATATTGACTCCCCTGAATTCCCTTTTTGAAAACGCAAATAAGCCTAGTGGGCACAGTCCAATGCCTCTCTGCCTTTCAGTGGGGGTGCTTTTGTGCCCATGAATAAATGCAGAAATCTCAGAGGCCAAAGGTTTACCTCAGGACACCAAAGGCCAAGGTAGGAATCACTGAAAGGTTTTGAACCAGGATGTAGCCATTCTCTCTCTCTCTCTCTCCATCAGCCATTCATGATAGATTATACTCCGCTTGGCAGGCAATACTTAACCCCGGTTCCATCCAGCTGGAAGGGCCCAGCTGGGAGTGGGGCCTGCTAGGAATGGCAATGGGTAACAGCAGCCACTCTCAGCTGTCAATTTCTTCCTCTAGGCAGGGACAAGAGGAAGCCAGAGGATGCTGATGCCGAGGGCAGGCATGAGAGTAACCACTATGCCTGATCTGGTCATGCTGGTCATTACATTTAAAAATGCTCTTTATAATTAGTAAATAGGGACCTGCGTAGCCACGCACCATCTAGGACTTTGTGGACAACACCACCCCCTCATCCTGCAATTAAAAGGTTAATGCTGGGCTCAGTTGGGATTGGGGTTGGGAGCCTTGTGACTGGGGCTGTTAGACATTTTGAAATATCACTCCTGGAGAGAACTTTGCAGAAAGGGAAGGAAGGGACACAGCAGAGACAAACCTCATGTACCCCACATTTTGCAGGCCCTTTCTGATCTCTGGCTAGTTCCCATCACCGATAGGCCGCCTTTGATACCGGGTCGTGGGGCACTTCTCACACTGGGAGCAGGGTGGGGAGAGTGACAGAGGAAGGTTTCAGGGCATCATTTACAAGGACACCCTCTACTGGTCCCAAAATTGTGGTGGGGGGTGCTGCGCTAGGGAGAGAGAAGCTTCTTGTGTCTCTGAACCAGGATCCTTGGGAGTGGGGGGAAGCGAGGGTGGGAGGCAATATTTGGCCTCTTTCCTGCAGACTCCCTCTAGAAAACACAGGACTTGATCCTGTCCCCTTCAAAGTATCATTGCTCATCAAGGGAATGAGTGATAAATTAGGTTTGGGGGTACACCAAGCAGCAGAATTCTGGCTAGGTGGCAGAAATAAGGGTGAGGACAGTTTTTATAAACATCATAAACAGGAAAATTAATCTCCAGGGTCTTTCCTTGTAAAGAAATCCTTCAGGACTTATAAAATCAGACCACATTAAGACATTCTGGCTGCCTTCCAAAGCAACGTGGACTTAACCAGATACATTCATTGAAAAATATTTTGAATATTGCAAAATAGTCTGGCCTTGGATGACATTAATTAAGAGACATTTCCCTGCAAATAAAAACCATAATGAGCTATCACCTCATTGCAAAGACAAGAGGTAACAAATGTTGGCAAGGATGTAGGGGAAAGGGAACCCTTGTGTATTGCTGATGGGAATGCAGACTGGTGCAGCCACTGTGGAAAACAGTATAGATGTTCCTCATAAAATTAAAAATAGAACTACCACATAACCTAGCAATTCCTCCTCTGGGTATTTAAGCAAAGAAAATAAAATCACTGTCCAAAAGAGATACCCACACCTACATGTTCATTGCAGCATTAGCCAAGGTATGAAAATAACCTAAGTGTTGGACAGATGAATAGATAAAGAAAATGTGATTTACATATAACATTATATATACACAATGTAATACTATTATATATTACATATACAAACAATGTGATACTACTTAGCCATAAAAATGAAAAAGTCCTGCCATTTGCAACATAATGGATAGACCATGAGGGCATTATGTTAAGTGAAATAAGTCAGAGAAAGACACATACAAATACTGTGCGATCTCACTTGCATGTGGAATCTTACAAAAAAGAAAAGAATGACATCATAGAAACAGATCAGATTTGTAGTTGCCAGAGGTAGGGAGAGGGAAGGTGGGGAAGCTGTGTAAAGATGATCAAAAGATGGAAACTTCCAGTTATAAATAAGTTCTGAGGATATAACATTCAACATGATGACTTTAGTTAATAATACTGTATTGTTTATTTGACAGTTGCTGAAGTAGATCTTAAAAGTTTTCATCACAAGGAAAAAATTTGTAACTATGAGGTGATAGATGTCAACTAAACTTACTGTGGGATCATTTTGAAATATATATTGTACATGTGAACTTATACAATGTTATATGTTAATTATATCTCAATAAAACTGGAGAAGAAGAGATTCCCCACCAATATAAATTGAATGCCACAGAGTATAGTAATATATTCCTATCACAGCAAATACTTTTAAATATTAATAATAGACAACACTTACTTTGTGTAAAGTGCTGTCTCTAGGAGACACACACACACACACACACACACACACACACACACACACTCTTCACCATCTATGAAGTTGGTGCTTTTGTTGTTGTTACTAAATGAGGAAACTGGGGCACAGACATTAAGCAACTTGCCCAAGATCGTACAGCTAGTGAAGCCCTGCTTGGCCATTTCTAGTTTTCCTCACCCCGAGGTAACCGTCTTTAACAATCACGGGGACGAGGTGAATGAGAGGGATGCCTGCTACACTAGAAGCCTGCAGCCAGCGTCACCAGCTTTGGCCACCCCCTTTTTTGAGAACCCACTGCAGGGGTTTCTTTCCTCAAAATCCCAGACTTGAAAAGGTGCCTTTCCCCCCTGCCCCAAAACTAAAATGGCTGTGCAGCTTCAAGCATTTAAAACAAAGTTTAACTCTTGGGGGTGCTATGGTAAGAATCAGTTTAAAATCTCGTTGAAATCAGTCCAGTCTGGATTGCAACGGACCTGATACTTGCACCTGTCCTGGATCCCTCCCTGAATACACATGTTCTTGTCTGCTACAAGTCACCTCATTCCCTCGGTGCCCAAAGCCTTCTATTGATGGAAGAGCCTCTTTCTTTCCAAAAGTCCCTGCCATGTGGATGAACCTTCTGGTTGAGTTTCTCATCTCCTTCATTTACCACCTCTTTAAAAATGTCATTCAAAACTCCTCCCCCTTTCTTTTCACATCTAGCATTCTGAGTTTATGGTCTTTGTTCAGCTCAGTTCTACATACAGATGTGGAGTCCCCTTGCACTGTGTGCTGAGTGCCGGAGTTTCAGAGATAACATGTGACAAGCTCTTGGCTGCTGAGGCTCACCGTTAATTCCCTCGCACACCCCTACCCCGACTGCACCACAGGACCCTCCCGCGGAAGAACTAAGATATAAGAAATGGAAGACGCATGGCAACAGGGCCACACTCATTTCAAGCTCACATGGGCTTTATTGCATATTGCACATGCTCTGACATTGCATAAAGGCTGGGCACTTGCTAGAACTAGACACGTGAGAGCTAATGTTTTCTTCTTCATTTGGCTATTACTGTCTTTGGGCTTGTTTGCAGTCTAAGGAATAGAAATTGATAAACAGGCACATATCTTTTGGTCATGGCAGGTGATGTTGGCTTATTCTAGGCCCTAAGCTATTCAGAGATACTGTTCAGAGCTATGAGGTGGCTCCAGATGAGGAGGAAGAAGAGGAGGCAGTTTCTTGTGGATCTTGTAGCCCAAGTGCTCAGACCAGTGCTGGCACAGAGCAGGTGTGTCCTGTGTTAGCTAAAGGTAATGAAATAGAGGTAGGTGCCACTCTTTATTGTTAAAAATAAGGAGACCTAAGGTGTTCTTTCAGATGGGCTGACTAGTTGCTAAGATCAAGAAGCCTTGGGAGAGTATCAGTTAGTACAATTTAACAAGCATGTGCGGTATGTGTATACATGCAAGATGCATACATATGCATATATATTCATTACATGTCCAATAAAAACCATCATTTACGGTCTTCTGTGCATCCTTCCTAAGCACCGGAATCAGAGCAGCCACCTCAGCTGCCCTACCTAGAGGATGTGTCATTGGCAATCCCACTTTCCTAACCTATATTGACCCTTGTGACTCCTGGTTCCATTGAGCAACGTTAGTTTATGTCATTTTTGTGTAAACTGTATACGCAATTCAAGATTTGTCCTCAAGCTTTCCACAGTTTTTTATTCCCCTTATCCTGCTCATGGTCCTATTAACTTTGTGTCACCCTTTGCTTTGAGCGGCCCGAGGCCTGATTAAGGAGGAGGAGCTTTGGGGACTTACCACGGTGCAGCAGAGGGGCCAGAACCACCAGAGGAGAGCCAGGGCCAGGAGCAGGAACAGGATCAGCAGGGCAATTGCCAGGATGGAGCCATCAGACTGTGGGGCCCAAAGAAAGAGTGGTGAGTCACAGGGCAGGCCACGTGTAGAACAAGCACTGGAGCTCAGGGTGGGGCAAGGCAACACCTGTGGCCTCCCCCTCCCATCACCGATATGCAGATTTAAGGCCCACACGAGAGCACAATTTGTCAAACAAATTGTTGAAACTCTGCTCATCATTCTGATCAACCCACTCTATGTAGCCAATTCTCATGAGAAGTAGATTCATTTTTTCAGTGAGACCCTGCTCTTTGAGCAATGTTCTGAAGGCTCAGCTCCGTTAGAGACAGAGCAGGCACTGCCCACGCCCCGGGCACTGAGGTGGCCTATCACTGTCCATCTGCCTCTGGACCATCACCCTCTGCCCAGTGACAGCCTCCCACATCCTGGGTCTGCCACCACCTGGGCTGGTGTCAGGACAGTGCTACTCAGGATTCAGCCTGCTCCCCGGAACCCATTTGCAGAGATTCACGTAACCGGTTCCCGGGGCTTTAATGGGAAGTCTAGGGCTGCTGCTAGGAAGCAATCAAGAGGAGATGGATGGTAGGGAGTGGAGGGCGGAGCAGCTGCTGCCAAACCTCGAACCTCGGAGGGGAGGGTGTGGTGGCTGAGTCACTGCTGCAGTCAGATCAGGTGGTTCTGTGAGGGCCAGAGGGTGAGGCAGGCCCCCAAGGCGAAGGACAGCCACTTCAAAACGTGCCTAAGCCAGCCATGAAAATAGTCAGGATTGCTGTGGCCTGAGGCGGTTGTTAACTTTTAGCAAACAGAGATCCTGCTTGGTGTAGGTATTTGGAGTTGCTGGATCCAGAAGCAGATTTAAGTTCCCTCTACACTTTGCCCCCTCCTGGCTACAGGGGGTAGAAATGGGCCCAGCTTTTGGAGAGGAGGTGGCAAGGGGCTTACTGTAGGTAGGGCTGGCTATGTCACTTTTAGCCCAAGAAAATAATCAGGTATATTTGCACAGATAATAATAATAAAGGAAAAATGTAAATGTTTAACAATTAGGGAATGGCAGAATAATACATTTTATAACTACCATGCAGTCAATTACCATGCAGACATAAGAAAACATTCCTGATATAATTAGTGGGTTTATGTACATGTATGTTGAGAAAGTGAAAGACTGAGGGATATTTAATAAAATATTAATAGTGGTTTTGCTGGTAGTGTTTATATTTTTCTTTTTAAAGTGGTATTTTCTTTTTTAAAACATGTCATAAGGAGAAAATAAACTACAGAAGCGGCACCATAAATCCACACCTGGGTCTCCTCCCTGCGGTGTCGGAGCTCACCTGGCCCGGGGGTTCTTCACCAGGGTCCATGCACCAACGGGGCACCCAAATGAGCTCAAAGGGACAGAAGGCTGTGGCCCTCCTTAAGTGACACCCCTGATTTTTGGTGGATGTGTCTTCAGGAGAGACCATCCACAGCACAATCAGATTCTCAAAGCTGCCCCTCTGCGCCCCTCCCACCCCACACAGAGGACGGATGTTGGGTGGCCCGTGCAGGGTAACCCAGTAGGTTAATGGCAGAGCAGGGACATGACTCATTCCCACTCTGGCGTGCTCAGCAGGGGCAACTGAAAGCTGTTTAAAGGCAACTCTTACTCCCTGGAATGTCTTTCTTTAACCAAAAAGCCAGGGAACTGAAGACCCCGGCCCCCACCAAGCCAAGGCTTGAGAATGCCACATTGCCCTCGAGGGAGCTGCAGTCTTACAAGTGCAGGTGCAGGGCTGGGCAGGGGCTGGGGAGAGAGGGCAAGGGCCAGCAGATGGGCACGGCCATGGCAGAGGGTGCTTCTGGACCCATAATTTATGTGCATGAGCTACAGCAGAGAACGATGCTCTCAGTGATGACACAAAGGAATCCCATGTGTTTTCCAAATTTGTTAGCCAAGGAAACCCACTTGATATCTCAGTCTTTACATGCTACACCCATGCAACGGAGATGCTAAACCTCACCTGCCTCAATGCACCGATGTGAGGATAAAATGAGCCATAAGATGGAAGCAACCGTGGCCGGGCAATTGGGATGGAAGCTATCGTATCTAAACGTTGAACTCACCCTCCCTCTATTTTCCCATGACGGAAAACACGGTGGGTATTTCAGGTCATAAATCTGTTTGCACTTGGAATAAATGGTTACTGAGAGGCTTATAAAACAGTGGTCTTTTAGTATTGCTTTATAATTAAGTGAAGACTACAGACTCCATTTATTCACATTATGTACAATCTCCCCTCTCCTGATTTTACATTTCACTTCAGAAGCAGAAAGGCTGATGTATTGTGGGGAAGTGTTTACATTTCCTTCCAGAAGAAGGAGAAGGTTTCCTGTGAAGTGGGGAGGGTGAAGGACCTGGCCCGCCAGGGGAGAGAGGAGGCTTCTGCGTTAGGGAGGACTTCCTGGATTTGGACAAAGGTACCTTTGGCCTTCCTCCGGGCAGGCTGGTCTGCCCCTCGCGAGCCACAGTTCTCTTTGGCCGTATCAGAGGGGGACATGTGGGACTCAGGAAGGGGCAGATGCAGCCAGGGGCCCTGGGGGAGTGGAAGTGAGCAGGGACAGGAGCTTCTGGGGGAACTGTATCCTGCTATAGAGACAGCTCGCTCTCCCACAAGAAAGCCCCTAAATGCAAGGTTGTTAAATAAACAACCACAGGCAAAGGGCTGTGTGTTATTCAACAGCTGTATACCCAGCACCTCTTCTGTGCCAGGCGGTGAACAAAATAGACAGTCTCTATGCCTAAAGAGCTTCTGTTCTGGTGAATAGTAATAATGATAATGATGACAATATTGACTGTTATTCGTACAGTTAATATTTATTGAGCACATACTATGTGTCAGGGACTGTTCTTTCTATGTACTAACATGCTTTCTATATATTAGCTCATTTAATTCTCATTAACAACCTTATGAATTTAATGATACTATTTTTCAGTCTTACAGATAAAAATAGCGAGGCAAGGACAGGTGAAGAAATTTGCCCATGGTCACAGGGAGAAACCAGAATTGAAAGCAGAACAGTCTGGTTCCACCACTCACAGTTTAGCCAGCAGACTATTGCTCTTATCAAGTGCTAGGAACCAAGTGCCTGGGAACTAGCACTAATAGAGGAGGGGACACACTGGAGCTCTACTGCAGGGCCAAGGCGGGTGGCATTCCTGCACAGAAAGGCGAACACGAACGCATGGCACGGGGGCGAGAGGGAGGTGGGCTCCCCACTGTGAGGGGCCACACAAGCCAAGCTGGGCAGCACGGCCTCTCTCCTGAGCCCGGCGGGATCGTTGATGGATGTAACTCAGGATGTACTGCGAAGGGATTTATTTCTTGGGAAGCAGCTGTCAAATGTGAACCAGAGGAGGGAAAGGTTGGGGGTCAAAGGCCCAGGCGAAGGGCTGCGGCAATTCTGCCCAGTTCTTTTAGGATGACATCTTAAGGGTCACTCCTTCCAGGACGCTTGGATTTTCGTGGACATGTTCAGTACTGATTTTATGAACACTAGCTGACTGTTACTGTGTGTTTCCACATGCTTGGGACCATGCACAGTGCTGTACATGCATTATCTCATTTCATTAAATGAGCCTTGTAAAGCAGCCTTGTTGCAGGGACTGTTGTCCCTCTTTGCAGGAGTAGGAGCTTGAGGTGGGGACCTGCTGGGACTTGATTTTAGGACACAAAGCAAGAACAGAAGCTGCCTTGCCCAGCAAATTCTCAGTCTGACACCCGCTGGGCCGGCAGGCCTTGCCTGCCTGCAACTGACCACAAACCTTCAAAATAGATTTCTGAGGGGAACAGGAGCTGCATATACATAACCAAAGGTTGATCCCTACCACCGTTGTTTTCCCAATAGCCTAAATATCACAAGTTAAAATCTTACTTTATTTAAAAAAGTAAAAACAAAGTTTCAAAAATCAATATGGCCCTTTACTTAAAAAAAATTTTTTTTTTTTTTTGGCAAAAGGAAGGGGGCTCTGGGGTGTGTGACTGAAGCTGAAAGCAAGCGCATGGTAAAGCAAGCAGCCTGAGGTGGTGCTTCTTCCACTCGGAGGCGGGGATCACCTGTTTTCTTCGATGAAGAGTTTTATGCCTTACCACCCCCCACCCCACCATCAAACGCTGCAGCAAAATATGCTCTCACAGAGCAGACATGGCACATTCAATTCGAGGGCAGGACTCCCCCAACTCTGCTCCTCCCAAGGCATTTGCTGTTAGGGTGACCTTCCATCAAGGCTGTCTGGCTTGAGAGGCCAAATCACTGCCTCATGGCTTTCTTAATGCCTCTGTTCCCAGCTCACCAGATGAGGGCATGTCTTTTAAAACAAGGAGGCATTGTGTTCAAGGGTATGGATTTGGAAACTTGAGTAATGAAAGCATGTCTTACTTGGTAGGTTTCTAGGTAATTCTGAATATCTGACGCATGGCTTGTGGTGGGATCTTGTCTGGGCCTGCCTGTGGTGGGACAGGAGAGGGGCAGGCCCCTGGACTGGGGAGCATCGAGCGTGGCTGCTGCTTTCAGTGTGGTTTGTGGGTTGCCATGGCCAAGGGAGGAGTCCAGAATGGAGAGGGATTAGTGGGGGGCTGGGGGAAGCTCAACTTAAAGAAACTTTGTGAAATGCTCCATCTCAAGTCTGGCGTGAGAGTCTGCCTGATGCCCAGGTATGGCAATTATGGAGCCAACGAAGAGCCCGCAGTTCGGCCAGCACGACTGTGTCAGCGAAGGAGGGAGCGTTCTCCCCCGTTCCTGCACGTCCTTCTATGTTGAGGGCGCCCTGTATGTACAACCCAGGGCTTTCTCTTCCCCTTTACTCCTTCAGTAAATAAGGCTGGAGTCAGCCGAGCACGCTGGGATCTGCTCGCCCTTCTCCTGGGAGCATGCGGCCCGCGGGGAGCAGGGCTGTCCTCTTCTGTTTCATGCAGGCAGATTTTTGGGGGGGAGGGGAGGCTGATGCTGTACAATTTGGGAGGCCTCTTTAAGGAAAAGAACATAAAAATATAAATGCAAAA